TGTGTGCTTTGTCTACACTACAGATAAGAAAGAACGAAATCTGATTTTTTTCTTAGCTCAGAGCTTGGGGCCCTGATTGGTGGGTTTTTAGAAGTGGGAAGGAACCTGGAAACTGTATATGAAAATTTCTGTGCTCATTTTTGGGGGTGGAGAGATTTTTAATTTTTAAGAGAATCTTGCAGTGTTAGAAGATATGTATGTAGGCTTGCTGGGAGGAAATGGCAGGTGGCATGTTAGCAATTCGTCCTTCCCATTGGCTGGGTTGGGGGTATGTTATGGTTTGGACTAAACCTTCTCATCTGTTCAGATATTTTTGTTTTAGACTATTTATTCATACCTGTTGGTCTAAGACAAGATAAGATAATCCCCAAAAGTGTTACTTATTGAGATGCCAAAAGATTTTACTAGTAAGAAAATAACAGATCACCAACATCTCCTGACACTAGTCCACACATCTAAAGTAGTTGTGTGTGTGTATGTGTGAGAGAGACAGAGAGAAAGAGAGAGAGAGAGAGGGAGAGAGAGAGAGAGAGAGAGAGAGAGAGAGAGAGAGAGAGAGAGAGAATGAGTTTAAGCGTAATCCTACCACTTGGAATGCAGAGGCAGGAAGAAGCCCAAGATTGATGCATTTTAGGCTGTATAGTGAAACTGTTTGGCTAGCACACATGAAGACCTGAGTTTAGTTCACCACATAAAACTGGGAGTGATGGCACCTACCAGTAATCCCAGCTCAGGAAATAAAATGGGGGGATCAGAAATTCAAGGTGGGAGATGGAGAGATGGCTCAGGGGTTAGGAGCACTGACTGCTCTTACAGAGGACCCAGGTTCAGTTCCCACTACCCACATGGTGGCTCACAGCCATCTGTAACTCTGGTCCCAGATGCCCTTTTCTGGCTTCCTCAGGCACCAGCTCTGCTCATAGTATAGAGATAGACAAAAACACCCCCACACATAAAATTAATATTAATTTTAAAAAGAAGTTCAAGGTCATTCTAAGTTACATAATTTGAGGTCAGCTTGAACTATATGAGTCCCCATCTCAAAAGAAAAAAATTAATAAAATATTTGTGACTTTTAATGTGTTGTTTTGTGTTTGTGCTTGCGCGTGCATGTGTGTGTGTATGTGTGTGTGTAAGTAAAGAAGACATTTCTCATTTATTTTCATTCTCTACATAGGTTTTCATTCTTTTTGGTTAGCCAACTTTATCTATCTATTTATTGTGCATTGCTGTTTTGTTTGCATGTATGTCTGTATGAGGGTATAGGACCCTCTGGAACTGGAAGTACAGACAGTTGTGAGCTGTCATGTGGGTGCTGGGAACTGAACCCAGATCCTCTGGAAGAGCAGCCAGTGCTCTAAACCACTGAGCCATCTCTCCAGCCCCTTGGTTAGCCATCTTAAAGATGGACTACTGCATTAAAAATTGCATCCTGCAAAACTACCCTTGGTCATGGCTAGATTGAGCCCTGCCAATACCCCAGCATCAAACTAGATAATATAGGCAAAATGATTTTGACTTTGGGATTGTCCTCCTGCCCCTTCATACTGAGCACACAGGTGGGCAGAGCCACACCATGTTTTCTTCTGGTCCTTGAAGGTGTTGAATTTTAATAGAGCCTGAACTTTGTCAGATTTTAATAGAAGCTATATCAGTAATACACAAAAACTCCTTACCTTAAAAATAAATAGTTCCCTACAGAAAACCCTGTCTCGAAAAAAACCAAAAATAAATAAATAGTTCCTTTGTTTAAAACATACTTCTGCCTATAGATGATGTTTGTGGATAGAACTGAATAATGGAAAATGCTTTGAACACTCATTGGGATCCTGTAAGTCTCAAAGTGTAGCTTACTTAGTATTTGATTGCATCTTTGGCCCAAGGGGGTTATTTGGTGAAAGTTAAAGTTGCTTAAGCTGGCTGTGTGATGAGTAATACATACTTGGTTTTGTTCTTGTGTGGAAATGTAGAGACTGTTGGTACTTGCAAGAAATTAGATAGTACCAAAGCAACTCTACTTCCCACTAGCTTGTTATAACTCCTATACTACTTAACAGATAGGAAGCACCCAAGTGTTCAACAAGTGTGTGAAAAGTGTTTTCCATAAATTCAAATCCTTATGATTATTTTATAAACCAGAGAATTGGCCAAGCTTTACAATTTTGTAGTTTGCTACTTTGGCTACCATTTTTTGCAGTGGTATACTACTAAGGTATAGATTGTTGGTACTTTTTAGGATTGACATTAACAAAATCAGGTTAGAAACTAACTTTACTTTTTGGTCCCTTTATGAGCCTAGTTGATCACACTTTCTCTTCCCTAATGTGATGATTTGTTTCATGTAGAATAAGCCGGAGAGACCAGAGTGACTCCCATTGTACTTGTTAAAGTTACATAGCTGTTCAGCATCAAATGTGTTGAACAACTTAAGATTATTTTTAAGAAAAGTCAGCATAGCAAGATTTCATTTATTTAAGGTAAGTAGAACAGATTTTGTTAAGAAAAAGCCAGGAGTCACTGCCACACCTTTAATCCCAGCACTTGGGACCAGGTTGCCTAGTTTGCATAGTGAGATCCAGGACAGCCAGAGCTTGTCTCAATTAAAAGAAGGGGGGGAAAAAAAGCTTTACTTATTTTTAATTAAAAATCAACCCCAAAGCAAAGAATTAAGAGCTAAGAATAAAATTCCAACATTTTGGTGTACCAATGTGGGGCCATGTTTCCATGTAGGGCCTGAAAAAAAACTAAAAAAAAAAAAAAAAAAAGATACGGCTCCTTTAAGATTTTATGCTGGACAGTATATGCTGGACAGTGAGCCCTTGAGCAGCCAGTACATTAAGAAAAAAAAATGTCTGCCCCAGTGCAGGGCACTGGCATTCCATAGCTGGGGTGTTAAATGCAGTTCCTGGTCATACACCTCTGACCGGGCTGCAAGCTTTAAGCTTGGCTCTCACTAAACTAGAAGTGGGTAGAGCCAGCTGGGAGAGTCACACAAAGGATCCAGGTGTAGCTTAACAGTCTAAAGTTTGTTCATGCAGTCAAAAAAAGGCTTTATAAAAGATACACTCAGTAAAAGAGTCCAGATGGAAGCTGGGCAATGGTGGCACACGCCTTTAATCCCAGCACTTGGGAGGTAGAGGCAGGCGGATCTCTGTGAGTTCAAGACCAGCCTGGTCTACAAGCTAGTTCCAGGACAGCTTCCAAAGCCACAGAGAAACCCGGTTTCGAAAAACAAAACAAAAATCTATAGAGACAGTAAAAGAAAGTCATGAAAAATGGGAAATACACAGGGAGTCTGGATCCTACATAGTATTATGTTTTGATTTTATTTTTTTTGGAATGCTGATAAACAGCAGCTGCTAAGAGACGTGGGGTTGAAAGAGGAACTGTTGAAATAAACCAGCCTGCATATATGCTTTAGGAATGCCTTACTTTAAAAAAGTAAAAAAGAAAGTTAAAAATGCTCTGGAGAAGAGGTTTTGCTTTTGTTTCCATAGGAAACAAGAGACTGTGGATTTGTTCCAGGGTAATATGGATCGGGTTTGATCAAGGGAGACCTCCTAAAACTGGACAGGTGTTATCTATCAACAGAGGCTACCACTGATCTTCTCAGAACTTGGTCATTATCTCAAATTTTCTAAGGGACCCTAAAGATACTTGGTTCACAGCAGGAAGCCGTTTGGAGAACATGGCACCTACATTCCCAAGAGGGGTGTGGGAGGCTTTTGGTTATTTGGTGGAACCTGGATGTTTGTTATAATTTAGGGGAATGTAGACATATAGGATAACGGGCTGAAGAGATGGCTCAGAGGTTAAGAGCACTGACTGCTCTTCCAGAGGTCCTGAGTTCAATTCCCAGCAATCACATGGTGGCTCACAACCATCTGTAATGAGATTTGGTGCCCTCTTCGGATATGCAGGCAGACCACTGTATACATAATAAATAAATCTTTTTTTAAAAAAAAAGAAATATAGGATAAGAAGACAACTATTAATCTCAGATATTTTGCATTGGCATGGATTTTGGCATATTGATACAAATTAAAATTAATTTTGTTACTACATATATGTTTCTACTCTTGTTTGGGATATTGTGCTTATGCAGCTCATTTAAAAATGCAGTATATAAATAAATAAACTTGTAGTCATATTAGGTATGTTTTCAAGGTTAAATAGGTATATTTCAGATAGATGATTTTTAAACACTTTAAAAGACCTATGGAATATGGCATTTAAAATGCTTTGTTAACTTAGGTTTTCACCTTTCTGATTTTTTTAAGTGGATGGTTTTAGTTTTCTTAGAATCACATTGACCTGGTGGTTACTAATTCTCAGAATTTTGACTTTTTTGCAACTGACACATGAAAAGAAAAATCACTCAGTTGTAAAGTGGATCTAGTGAGCTGTGCAACAAATGTCAGGACGCTTCAACTTTACCCCTGTAACCCTGAAGGCAGCTATATTTACAGTTCATTTACAACTACTGAAGTCCAGGACATTTTCCTCCTGTGATTATGCCAGTTGGCTGCTGTGTTTCCATGGTCTACACTGCTCATTTTGCCACCCTTGTGGGTTCTCACTCTGGTGCTTGTAGTGGCTGACGCTGAAGGAAACTGCCTGCCTGCGTGAGTCTCTTGAGTGTTCCACAGCCTCTTATTTCATTAGGCTGATATTAGTAGTCCTGCAGAACCCAGCATGGCAGACATCATGCAGTAGTAGGTATTTATTCATTGAATATGCCGAGTGCTAAGCACTATAGTAAGCTCTGAAGATATCTTGGTGAATTTAACAGATGGAGCTCTTGGCTGATAGAATTTACATTCTGACTGAAAATGGGAACTCACACAGCTTGTAAAATAATACCCATCCCAAACTGTTTGGAGAGTATAACACATCATGGTATATGGAGTTTGATTTTAAATTTCATATGTTATGAGAAATGCGTGGCCTGAGAAGGAAGTGGTGGTATAATTATTCCCCTGTTTTCTTTCTCTTTGTAGATAAGATGTTCCAAGTTCCTTGTAGCTGTCTTCGGAAGAAAATCAGGAGTGCTCTCTGCTCTTGCCATAAGAACAGCCCTGTTTGACCCGCACGTTGGTGTTGTGACACTGGAAGAATTGCACACAGGCTCCAGGAGTTTCTTGTTTTCACTTGAGGGGGGTTAGTTCTCTGTGGATGGAGAAAGATTTGAGTCTTAATTGCTCTGTTTTCAAGTTTTTCTCTATAGTTGGAACTCTGTAGTCAGAACTCACTTCCCAATGAGCTACCCAGCCAGTCCTTGTCAGGAGCTGGCTGAGAACTGTGCAGCACATGCCACAGGAATGGCCCAGGAAGAGAGCTGTCGGAGTCAGGCCCCACCCGCCTTCTACCATGGTGCCAGCCAGGAGCTTGACCTGTCCACCAAAGTGTACAAAAGGGAGTCTGGAAGCCCTTATTCTGTGCTAGTGGACACCAAGATGAGCAAACCACATCTGCACGAGACCGAGGAACAGCCATATTTCAGGGAGACAAGGGCGGTGTCTGATGTGCACACTGTCAAGGAAGACCGGGAGAATTCTGATGACACGGAAGAGGAGGAGGAAGTCTCATACAAAAGGGAGCAGATCATAGTGGAGGTAAACCTTAATAATCAAACATTAAATGTATCTAAAGGGGAAAAGGGTGTCTCTTCTCAGTCCAAAGAGACTCCTGTTCTTAAGACAAGCAGCGAGGAAGGAGAGGAAGAGAGTGAGGAGGAGGCCACAGATGACAGCAATGACTACGGAGAGAACGAACGGCAGAAGAAAAAGGAGAAGCGAGTGGAGAAAGTCAGGGTTACACAAAGGCGAACCCGAAGAACGGCCTCTGTTGCCGCAGCTGCCACTTCCCCTACACCTCGCACAACTCGAGGCCGGAGGAAGAGTGCAGAGCTACCCAAGCGGAAGAAGCGGGCCACCAAGGAGCCCAAAGCGCCAGTCCAGAAAGCTAAGTGTGAAGAAAAAGAGACCCTGACCTGTGAGAAGTGCCCCAGGGTCTTCAATACGCGCTGGTACCTGGAGAAGCACATGAACGTCACTCACAGGCGCATGCAGATCTGTGATAAATGTGGCAAGAAGTTTGTGCTGGAGAGTGAGCTGTCCCTTCACCAGCAAACAGACTGTGAAAAAAACATTCAGGTAGGTCTCACCACCGAGAGGGCGACCTTTCCAGGATAGAACCTGGCTGTTGAGAGTCATCTGGTGTCTGCCCAAGAGAATAAACACAATAGAGGCTGAAGGGACAGATTTCACCAATTTATCGTTTTAGACGCTGCTGCTTGGGTCTTTTCAAAACCAAGGCTTAATCTTGTATTTCAAAAGCATTACACTTAACTGACGCTGGACTAGAGGGAACTCAGGTACGATGGAAGGGGGATCTGTTATAGATGATTGCCTGGGATGTAATTGAGCGCCGACTTTGCACTGAGAGTCACTGTTGTAGGACTTGTGAGATAATTCGTTCTGGCATCTTCTGTCAAGGTGGCAGATGTTGAGTGAAGGTCAGGAGTAGAGAAAGGTTCCTTTCTATTTTAAGGGTGCCAGAGTCTAGTGCAACTGCTGGGGACAGAAACCGTAATGACTCAGACCTGTGGAAATGGAAGATCTCCAGCAGTGAGTTTCCTTTCACCCGTGGAGAGATGGCAACACTAAATGTGTCAAGAGGCGAGCCCATGGGAATATGCAAACCTTAAACAGAGGCTGAGATGTTTGAAAATATTGCTTACCTGACAGTAGGTTACATAATGTTGCTGCACAGTATTAATGAGACAAAACATGGTATTCAAACCAGGCTGGTGTCTTGGAAAGACTGTATTATGACAGGTTAAGAGGTATTGAATGCATTGCAGCTATATTGGTTTGTGCAAATCTTTGTGTATAAATGTATATTCATACAAGGTAAGTCTGTTATGTTTCCATATGTACAGTAATTACCATTTTGAAGCTAACTTTTTAAAAGATACATTGTTTTACTTTTGGTTTGGGAACTGCTAATAATGGTGACTACCTTTAATTTTCTCTTTTTGACAATTGTTCTTAAATCAATGACTGAGGTCAGTGGCTTCCTTTAAAGATATTTTTAAAAATTCACTGGTTTGACTTGTATATCATGCTGGATAATTAATTAAGAAGACTTGGTGGTGTTCTCTAGCAGGTGCCTGGGCAAGAATTGGTTGCAGGACCAGTTCAACTGAGCATTGTACAGTGCTGCCCCCTAGAGGTTAAACGTGGGTTTCATAATGTCTCCTTACTAAAAAGGTGTTGCTCTTTCTGTCTCAAGGAGCTGCTTATTTTGTGGGTTTTCCCTTTCCTTTCTTTCCCTTCCCTTCCCTTTCTTTTCTTTTCCCTTCCTTCCTTCCTTTAACTTTAATTTGCATACGTTACAGAAAACAACAGTGCTTTTTTAGGGGGCTTCCAGGCTTTTCCTCATTATGGTATGTTCCCTTTTGTGCTTACTGTTGTATGGGTTCTGTTGAATGAAAACCTTTCTCATTCCTAGGCTGATGAGATGGCCCAACAGTTAGGGGCGACGGCTGCTCTTTCCGAGGACCTGAGCTTGTGCCCAGCACCCACATGGCAGCTAACGACCATCTGTAACTCCAGTTCCAGGGGATGCGTCTCCCTCTTCTGTCCTCCTTGGGCACCAGACACACATGCAGTGTACATCCATACAGCAGGCAAAACACTCATATACACAAATCAAAATAAGTGTTTCTTAGAAAGGAAAATCTTTACATTCCTAAAGAATCTTATGCTGTGTTTCTTCATACAGCTCCTGATAATCCTGGTAACCTCATAATAAGGGGAAGTTAACCCTTGCAGAAAAGGCGGCTCACTGGGTAGTCTGTCCTTTTCCAGGACAGTTTCCAGCCAGCACCTTGTCTCTGTGCTCATGGGTTCTTCTCTCCGGCAGTGGCAGTGGCACTCAAGGGGCTTTAGTGACTGAGTTCTCTAAGTTTTTTCCTCAGAGCCTGGTGCTTGTCAAGAACTGTCTGGTATTGGTTTGTTTATTTAGTTATGCTTTATGCCTAATAGTCCAGGGTGCTCATGAGTCATGATTTTTAACTAGGCATTGTGACATAAGGAGGTCTGGAATTGGACAAGGGGAAGAGGAGATTGGCCAGTGGTTTAGAGGTTATATTAGCTTCTGCCAGATGGAAATGGCAACAAAATAAACTAGGTTTAGGGAAAGTTAATAAACCTTGAGCATTTGTTACAGAATTTTTCAAAATGTGTTTTCTAATGCAGAAGGACATTGTGTCTTCCGATCTATAGTGTTCATATATCAAGCCTTTATTTGTGCTACTTTTAAACAAGTTCTCTGGTAAACACCTCTAACTTCATGGCACCCTGGGGAGGAGACAACTGTGCTTGCTGCTCTGTGCTATAGGCAAGCAGGTGTGCTCGCATATCCTCATGTTCCCGCATGGGAAAAAGAGGCAGGATCATGATTTGAAGCTAACCTTGGCTAAATAATAAGTTTGAGGCCACCCTGGGCTATTTAGTAAGACACCCTATCTCAAAATAAACAACAACAACTATATATATATAAACACCAAAGTGGATATTCCTCTCATAAATTCAACACTGAAATGGTAATAGCATTTAGTTGTTTGTGGAACTTTCCACTTCTTTCCTTAGATTCTGCCATTGTTTGCACACTTCCATGTATCTAAAAGATGAATTTGGGAAAATAGAACATACAGATGTTGGTGTTGGAATATGGACTCCATGGAGGAATAGTTGTTGTCACGATTCTGACCTTGTACCATGAATCTAAAGTAGATCCATTTCATCTGCCAGGAGGCAGGATGGCCTCCTGAAGCCTCCATAAATAAAGACTCTTTCTGTTTGTCCTGCTCAGTGCGTTTCCTGTAACAAATCCTTCAAGAAACTCTGGTCCCTTCATGAACATATCAAGATTGTTCACGGATATGCAGAAAAAAAATTTGCCTGTGAGATTTGTGAGAAGAAGTTCTATACCATGGCTCATGTGCGGAAACACATGGTCGGTAAGTCTGTCTGCCTCTCTACTCTCTGCCTGTGGCAGGCTGTTGGGCAGGCTATGTAGACAGAGCCACCATACTGCAGCCTGCAGTCAGTTTTAATTGGTTGAGATTAAGCGCGGCCTGTCATAAGCATCACCAAGTTGGATCCAGTCTTCCCACCCAGAGTTCTCGTCAGCATTGCTGATTATTTTCTCTTTGGAGCGTTACTGTTAAAGTGCTGCACCTTATGACGTCTGTCTCTTCCAGTATGAATTTTTTGGTGAAATCATTTTGAGTTTAAATGTATTCTGTGTTACAGCACACACAAAAGACATGCCATTTACATGTGAAACGTGTGGAAAGTCTTTCAAACGGAGCATGTCACTCAAGGTGCACTCCTTGCAGCATTCTGGAGAGAAACCCTTCAGATGTGAGGTAAGGAGCACAGGCTAGCTCCAAAGCTAGGGGTGTGTTGACCGTGCAGCAGTGAGAGTGGAGGGCGGAGTTCAAAGCACAAGGCTGTGCACACTGAAGCTGTGGGTGTGCCCCAGGGTTAGGTGCTCTCACTGCTAGGAAGAGAAGTGTCCTATTAGCACACAGTTAAGTCTTTAGATTAACGTGGGAGTCATGTTCAGTGAGTCAGAGAAGTTGGAAATGAGTCAGTGATAATTACATGAGAAAATTTCCCATGTATTCGTAACTCAGCTGCAGGAACATAGAAAATCCAAACAGCTGCCATAAGCAGCTTGTGTTCTGCACATGAAAATAATCCTATAAGCCTGTGAGGGTGGGCTGGAGTGGTGTTCTGTGCTTGGCATCCAGCGCCATCCTCTGTCTATTGCAGAACTGTGATGAGAGGTTCCAGTACAAGTACCAGCTCCGCTCCCACATGAGCATCCACATTGGGCACAAACAGTTCATGTGCCAGTGGTGTGGCAAGGACTTTAACATGAAGCAGTACTTTGATGAACACATGAAGACGCACACTGGTAAGGATTTCTTAGCAAAGGTACAGAGTGCTTGTTGGTAGTCATCTGCAGGTCTGTCTTTACACCCAAAGCATACATTTGTGTTGTTTTTCTCTTTTATTTTATCTTGAGGTGAAGTCTTGCTGTGCAGCTCAGGCGGGTCTCAGACTCACAGCAATCCTCCTGCCTTGATCTCCAGGTGCTGAGGTCAGAGGTGTACACTACCATACCTGGCACAGATGTGCTTTGTAAGTGAAAATCTCACTTTAAGTAAGCCTGAGACATAAAAGTTAATTTATAATACTGAAATTTTCTCTTTTATAACTGTTTTTTAAAGAATTACTAATGTGAATGCCTTTTGAAGGTTTTTTGTTTGTTTTGTATTTTGTTTTTTAAGACAAACTGTCATACTAGGATTACAGGTGTGTGCCACCATGCCAATTATAAATGGCTTGTTTGTTTTGTCTTATTTTTTGGGACAGAATCTCTCTTGTCCCTGCCTCTGGAGTACTGGGATTAAAGGCATGGGGTTCCATACCCATCCCTCTCAATATTCTTAGAGTTCATTGAATTTGATTTATCAAAATTCAGTACCTTTCAAGAAAACATCCACTAAATGGAGTTAAATGCATTTTAACCCTCTCTATGTTTATAAGGATGTATGCTCTATAGCGTTAATAAAATTCCTTTTTTTCTTCTTTCCTTCTCTCTCTCTCTCTCTCTCTCTCTCTATCTCACTCTCTCTCTCTGTCTCACTCTCTCACTCTCTTTCTTTCTCTTTTGTTTTTTTGTTTTTTGAGACAGGGTTTCTCTCTGTAGCTCTGGCTGTCCTGTCTAGACCACGCTGGCCTCAAACTCAGAGATCCACCTGCCTCTGCTTCCTGAGTGTTGGGATTAAAGGTTTGTGCCACCACCACCTGGTGATAAGAATCTTATAAACATTTAATTATCCAGCTTTCCGGAGACCTAGTAAAAATCATAGCTCCTTTTACAAACACTAGCTCTGTCCACAGCTGACTTTGATAGTCCACCAACTGAACTGTATCTGCAGCCCCCAAAATCTTATTTTGTGGTTATAGTTATTGCATAAAATTTTATGATCAGTATTGCTTGGCCAATAGGCAAGAAATGTTTCTTCCAAAGTAATACAATTCACTTAGATTTTTCTCTTTCTCATTATCAGAGTAACACATACTTAAGATTTGACCAGAATGATGGCTCATGACTTTAATCCCAGCACTTGAGAGCCAGAGGCAGGTGGATTTCTATTAGTTCAAGGCCAGCTCACTCTACATAGTGTGCTCTGAAAATTAGGAACTGAATAAAAATCTCACGACAGAGAGAGCACCAAGATTTAATCAAATAATAACATTTTTGTGGGGGGAAGGGTGTTTCAAGACAGGGTTTCTCTGTATTGTTTTGGAGGCTGTCCTGGAACTCACTCTGAAGACCAGGCTGGCCTCAAACTCAGAAACTTTCCTGCCTCTGCCTCCCAAGTGCTGGTACTAAAGGCACGTACCACCACCACCTCGCTCCTATGTTATTTTATTTTTTTTAAGATTTATTATTTTATGTGTATGAGTGTTTTTACTGCATGTATGTATATGCACTGAATGGGTGCCTGGTGCCCTTGGAGGCTAGAAGAGGGTACTAGATCATCTGGAACTGCAATTAAGGATGATTGTAAACTCATTGGATACTGAGAACTGAACCTGGGTTCTCAGCAAAAACCAAGTGCTCTTAACCACTGAGTCATCTCTCCAGCCCAGGATTTAATATATTTAAAAATAATTTTTCCAAGGGTTAAGAGTATAGCCAGTGATACAGCATGTGCTTAGCAGGTGCAGACTAAAAACCAGCACTACAGACAAAACAGCTTTCAGCTCTTAGCATGGTCTAGGCCAGCAAATGGTAATACATCTGGGTCCTTATACTCTATCATAACCTGCTTTTATTTATTTTTAGATTAATTAATTTTATATGTGTGAGTATTTTGCTTACATGTTAATATGTGCACTATGTGCATGCCTGATGCCTTTGGAGGTCAGGAGCCAGTAGTGAATCCCCTGGAACTTGAGTTCCAAATGGTTGTGAGCCACCATGTGGTGCTGGGAATCACAGCCAGCTGTCTGGAAGAGCTATTGCTCCAGCACCCTGAAACATGATTTTTAACCGACTTTATCATATACCATATCATTATCAGTAATGTAGTTTTAATGGTAATATGTCCTTCTTGAAAGTTTGCTATGAAAGTAGCCATCATTATGTACAGATATGCCAGGCATTATCTCAAGTTTGTTGTACTTACTACTTCATTAGTATAGCCTTTCTAACAGTCCTCTACAGTAAAGGATGTTTTCTCTTTTTTTCAGATGGATATTTGGGTTGTTTCTGTTTCCAGTATTTCTATTATAAATAATGCTGTAATAAATAACATCATTCCCCCCCCCAATAACATCATTAATATAGCCCCAATTATTTGCTTAGGGTAAAGCTCTGGGGATGGGGTTAACAGGGCAAAGAGATGTGAACATTTCTCACCTGGTGGTGTGTATTACAAAGTTACCTTCCTCATCTGTTCTCACCATGTGTGCATGAAAATTCATTTCTCCAGCCAAAGAGCTAGGAAGCCCCTTCTGCCTTGATAGTGAGAAATGGCTTCTTGTACTAATTTGTACTTCTAACTACTAAATAATATGGAATTGTTTTCATTTGTTTATCAAGTAGTTGTATCTTTTCTGAGTTGCTTGTGCCTTTTGTGTTCTTTCTTACTGTTGTCAGTAGGTCTTAACATGTTAAGTATATTGGAGTACATCCCATCCTGCCTTTCATCTGCCTTTCAGTATTGTTTGAAATACTCAAGCTGGGAAAGCAACTGGATGGTGGGTCTGAACTAGTAGAACTGTTTGATGGCATTAAACAAGAATGACTAGTGCCTGAGAAAGTGCGAGATAGGAAAAGAGAGAAAGGCTGAGGAAATGACATTTGTAGGCAGCAGTCAGTGTGGGTGGGAATCACACCCATTGTGGGAACTGGCATTGATTGATTTCTTTGCAGTTAAAATAAGGCAGATCTTACCTAGGGAAGCTGGCCACCATCAGGCAGGGTTCCTAGTACAGTCCTCATACCACGTGCATAAGGACACAAGGATGAATGAAGACCTGGTCCCTGCCCTCCCAGGACTGGTCCACGGAATAGCAACAGTGATAGCAATGGTAACATTGGCTGCAGCACACTGGCACTGTGTGCTGGATGCTACTCTGAGCACCAGCTTGTGTCTATTCCAGTGACCTCTTTGGGGACTGTAATCTTTATTTTCCAAATGAAAAAACTAAGGTTAAAGAGTAAATAATTTGCTCAAGGCAGCCTTTGCTCTCAACTGGACACTCAATAGTTCTGCTATTATTTAATGTAGCAGGTAATAAAACAGGGTGCATTGGACATTAAAAATGTAGGAAGCAGCCGGGCAGTGATGGCGGCGTACGCCTTTAATCCTGATACTCGGGAGGCAGAAGCAGGCCGATCTCTGTGAGCTTGAGGCCAGCATGGTCTACAAAGCTACACAGAGAAACCCTGTCTCAAAATATAAAACAGAAAAAAAAAAAAAAGGAAGCATCATCATGGGGTCCAGTTCTTGGACTCTAGGATTTGTTCACTGTAATCAGCAGCTCAAGATCAGAGGTTCTTAGACGTGCTACCTGGTCCTGATGATGTCAAATTGCTTATTATTTATGAATGGCAAGTAGTTTGGAAGGCTTATTACTATTATATACATATGTATGGTTTGCCTGCATGTATATCTGTGTATCATGCTTGCCTGGTAAAGAGGCCAAAGAGGGTATTGGATCCCCTGGGACTAGAGTTACAGATGGCTATGAGCCACCATGTGGGTGCTGAGAATTGAACCCAGGTCCTCTGGAAGAGCAGTCTTAACTATTGTGCCATCTCTCAGCCCAGGTCTTTTTTTGTGTTTGTTTTCTGTCCTAGGGATTGAACTTTAGGGTCTCAACATGTGCTAGTCACGTTCTCTACTGCAGAGCTACATCTCCAACCCAGGCCAGAACTGTTAATGCCTTTTGGTCAACATTATTTGCCTAAACTAAATTCTATCTTAGAAGCTGAATTATGAGACGATTACCAGGGATAGAGAATTAGCAAAAGAAGGTAATGTGATGATGTAAATGGTGATCGACATACTTCATTGAATCCAGGTTGCCAACAGCTGTAAAATTAATTTATATGCTGCTGAGAAAAAAAAGTTACAAATTAAACAGTGATATACCATTGAGTAGAAGGTAAATGATAATTTCAGAGGCATTAATATGTGGGGAGAAATCCATGTCTTTACATTTTAAAAATTTGTTTATAAATATTTAAAAACCTACTAAGGCCAGGCATGGTGGCGCACACCTTTAGTCCCAGCCCCTGGGAGGCAGAGGCAATTGAATCTCTCTTATTCAAGGCCACATAGTGAGTTCTAGGACAACTCAGGCTGCATAGAGACCCTGTCTCAACAAACCAAAAGTGGGGAGAAGAGCCTTCTGAATGAAGCTACAGTGGCAAGCAAGATTGAGATAGCCCGTAGTCCCACAAAAGTTATACTCAGGCTGGATGGGGGTGTAGAGTAACAAAGCCTGACAGCTGTGGATCCACTGAACTAAGAGTCATGGATGTGCTAAGAGGCAGGGAGTGTAGCACCTGATACTGAAGGGCAGTGAACAAAGACTGTAACATAAGAATCCTTTAACCCTCATATGAAACCTTTGGACTTAAAGAACAGTGAGAAAGGTGTGGTTTGTGTAGTGTGTGACACGAGTGTTTTGAGCATTCACTTGGGCTCCAGTGTGGGGAGTGAAGGGATCAAGACAGCAGATGGTAAAACCAGTTAGGTGAAGTAAGGGTTAGTCCCAGAGGGTTTAGAATATCTTCTAGGCAGAAAGTAGTAGAGAGTGGAGTGGTTTGCTAGATAGGTAATGAGTTTAACTTTTTTATTAGTTTTGAGATCTGTGGGACATTGCAGTGGGAATAACCAGTAATCAGTTTGAAAAGGGTTTAAAGCTGGAGGAGGTTTGACATGGATGGACGGATGGATGGATTTCTGATGCTGCCCAAAGATACTCATGCTGCACAGGCAGGGATGCCTGGGGTTGTAGGACAGATTATTCTCCCCTTTGCACAGTGCAAGTCCTTTTCTGTCATTTATAATGCCCTTCTTTAGGCTACTCACAGCAGCGTTTCTTACAGCTGGGGCAGCCTTGTCTACTAGTAGATCTCTAGATAAGTTATGTACATGCTTTCCTAGTTAGCTTGGTGAATTTAGCTCTTCCCCCTCAGCCATGTTTTCCAGTCTTCTTTAGAGCATGGTGCAGTGGTTGACTTCAAATGTTACATTTTTACTTTATTTTAAGCTTCAGAGTAACCTTAACACCAACAATTAAGCAACTAAATAATGAGTCAGAGGTGGGAGGAGTAATGGGTTCTATCGAGTGAGAGCATGGGACAACAGTATGGACATTTTTGCTAGTATATTGAGAAGTAAAAGATTGGCTAGGTGGTAGTGACATACACTTTAATCCTAGCACTGGGAGGCAGAGACAGGTAGAGCTCTGTGAGTTCAAGGCCAGCCTGAGTTCCACAACAGCCAGGGATACACAGAGAAGCCCTGTCTCAGAAAAAAAAAATTTAAAGTAAAGAAGGAATTAAAGATTATTAATGGGGGGCCTAGAGAGACGACTCAGAGGTTAAGAACACTAACTGGCCGGGCGTTGGTAGCGCAATCCTTTAATCCCAGCACTTGGGAGGCAGAGGTAGGTGGATCTCTGTGAGTTTGAGGCCATCCTGGTCTACAAAGAGAGTTCCAGGAGAGCCTCCAAAACAATACAGAGAAACCCTGTCTCGAAAAACCAAAAAAAAAAAAAAACCAAAAAAAAAAAAAAAAAGAGCACTAACTGTTCTTCCAGGGGTCCTGAGTTCAATTCACAGCAACTACATGGTTGGTGGCTCACAACCATCTATAGTGAGATCTGGTGCCTCTTCTGGCCTGCAGAAAACTGTATACATAATAAATAAATTTTTTAAAGTAAGATTTTCATTTGAATCATGGATTTATAATCAACCCTAATTCATTTGGAGCTTTCTGTGGCAAGCCACAATGCCCAGGGGATTATTGTGAACGGAGATTATTAAAAAGATCTAGAAAGTTAAACATGTTGAGAGCCTTCAGTCTGTTCCGCTTGTGAGTGGTGTGTGTGTGTGTGTGTGTGTGTGTGTCGTGGAGAGCATATATTCTCACTGGACTAGTTGGTCAGATGAGGTTCTTGTGCTGTTTCCACACGGCTGCTGCAGATGAGGAACAAGGACTTTGAGAGCAAGGATGGGAAGTCAGGGCTGAAGAGGGTAGAAAAAGCTGTGCTTTTAAAAATTTTACTAGGGAACGGTGGGAAACTCAGGAGGTTGAGGCAGGAGGATTACCATGAGGTTAAGGCCAGCCAAGGCTACATAGAAAAAGCCTATCTTTAAAGATAATAATAAACAAATAAGTCACGTTTATTACAGCAAAATAAATACAGACAAGCATTTAAAATAAGAATGGGAGCTGGAGCCGGGCGGTGGTGGCGCACGCCTTTAATCCCAGCACTCGGGAGGCAGAGGCAGGCGGATCTCTGTGAGTTCGAGGCTGGGCTGGACCGATAGCCTCCAAAACAATACAGAGAAACCCTGTCTCGAAAAAAAAAAAAAAAGAATGGGAGCTGGAGAGATGACCCAGTGTTGAAGAGTACTTGATGCTCTTGTGGAAAGCCTGGGTTCAGCCAGGCATTGGTGGTGCATGCCTTTAATCCCAGCACTCGGGAGGCAGAGGCAGGAGGATCTCTGTGAGTTCAAGACCAGCCTGGTCTACCGAGTGGGTTCCAGGACAGCCTCCAAAACAATACAGAGAAACCGTGTCTCAAAAAAACAAAAAAAGAAAGAAAGCCTGGGTTCATTTCCCCACCACCATCTGTAACTCCAGTCTAGAGGATCTCAAACTCACATAATATATGTGTATGTTTGTGTAGTGTGTGTGTATGTGTGTATATTTTTTAAAATAAGGCTGGATGTGGTAGTACATGCCTTAATCATCCCAGCACTTGGAAGTCAGAGGCAGCTGAATCACTGTGAGTTTCTGGCCAACCTTATCTACATATGGAGTTGTGGGCCAGCCAGAGTTACATAAAAACAAAACAACAACAATAATAATAAAAATAAGAAAGAATAAACCATGTGTAATCCTGTTACCTAGAAGTCCTAGAAGTAATCTTGGCAACACAACGTATTTCTTTCCGTATCTTTCCTGTGCATATTTTACATGAAAAGTGATTAATGCTATGCAATGTCTTCATAAGTTGCTCGTTTTACTTTACTAATAGATTATAGATACCTTTGCATTGATTTCATGTAATTATATTTCTATACTATATACAATTGTTTCCAATGGCATTTCTCTCAGGTGGTTATGACTAAAACTACTTAGCATATAGTGTGAAGAATTTGTTTGTTTGACTGACTGGTTGATTACTTATATTTATTTGGGCGTGGGGATGAACTTGTGGCATGGAACATTTATGGAGGTCAGAGAACAGCTTTTGAGGTCAGTTCTCTCCTGCCATGGGGATCAAACTTGAGTTCTCAGGCGTGGCAGCAAGTTCTTTACCCACTGAACCATCTCATGGCCGTATTTGAAGTTTTTAAGACGATTAAAGGAAAATTAAGCATGGTGACACAAGCCTGTGATACCAGCACTTGGGAGGTGAGGAGGTGTGCGAATTAGAAGTTCAAGGTCATCCTTGACTACATAGGAAATCTAAGGTCCCCTTTTAGGATGTATGAGATGCTGTTTCTATGGGGATGGGGGAAATGATTGGAGGAGCCAGGTACCTGTGCTTCACACCTGTATCGCAGCACTCTGGAAGCTGAGGCAAGAGATCTAGTTTTGAGGTAGCCTGGGATAACATAATGAAACCCTGTCTCAAAGAAAAAAGAAGGAAAGAAAAGATGTCAGGAAATGGATTAAAAAGAAGCCAACCTAGGCTCAGCACTCAACCAGAAAGATGAGTGTGAGTCACAGGGAAGGCTCTTCAACAAGGGGAAGCTGGTTCCATGTGACTCTTTTTAGTGGGTAGGGTGGAGTTCTGGCTGCAGTGGGAGGAGGCAATAGGAGATCCAGCTTTCTACTAGAAGAAGAAGAAAGAACTTTTGGACTGTGGTACAGGTGAAGAGGTGTTTGCTCCTGATTATGGGAAGGAGTGGCAGAAAAACTAGTAAAGAACGCATTCTTTCATGCACGTAGAAATACACCCACAGGGTATGAAGTGCTGTGGCTTCTGTGTCAGCAGCACAGACTCTGGGAGCTAGACTTAAGGGTGCCTAACAGATCACCTTGGGGAAGATATCCCGCAGACAATAGGGGAAGCATACTACCTGGTACAGTTGCTGTGAGAATGGAAAGCCACCAGAAGTGCTGATTGGTGTAGGACTCGGTGCACAGTAGAGTGAGCTGAGCACATGCTGCAGGGACAGGGTGGTGGCGGCTGAGTGACAGTGAGTTGGCACAGAGGTGGTAATTCACAAACCAGATGCCCATAGGCCACAGCTGCAGTACCCTCCACTACCGCTAGTTGCCCCTCCCCCTTCCAGCATGGTGGATTATAAGTTGTATTTGTGCCTACTGTGACCTTCAAGTCTGTTTGGGGAATAAAATGCTGAGGGGAAAGCCTGAGTGACAGGTACACATCTTTACACTCGGAACATCAACCTTGTTTGTCTGTGCTCATCTCAGGAGAGAAACCTTTTATCTGTGAGATCTGCGGCAAAAGCTTCACCAGTCGACCCAACATGAAGAGGCACCGCCGAACTCACACAGGCGAGAAGCCTTACCCCTGTGATGTGTGTGGCCAGCGGTTCCGCTTCTCCAACATGCTGAAGGCCCACAAGGAGAAGTGCTTCCGAGTGACCAGCCCAGTGAACGTGCCACCAGCTGTCCAGATCCCTCTGGCCTCAGCGCCAGCTGCTCCCACTCCAGCTGTGGCCAACACTCCCACGAGCCCAGCCCCTGCAGTCAGTATGAACCCCGCGGGTGGTGCGCTTCCCTCGCGGCCCGTCCCGCACCCGTTCTCGCACCTGCACATCCACCCACACCCTCACCATGCGCACCACCTCCCCATCCCACCCGTGCCTCACCTGCCCCCACCTCCAGCCCTCTTCAAGAGTGAGCCCCTAAACCACAGAGGCCAGAGTGAGGACAGCTTCCTGAGGCACCTGGCAGAGAAGAACAGCGCTGCCCCAGCTCAGCATCATTAGCGCCAGCTGGAGTGACGTCCCCACGGTGAGTCGGCAGGAGGGGTGCAGCTGTGCTTCTCTGGGGTCTCCTTGTCTCCATGGCCGCCTTCAGGGCCGTCACCATTGTCCTGGCGGACCATCAGCCTGACCCGAGGGAGTGAACAAGAAGACTGCCCTGGAAACCAGGGCAACCACCAAACTAAAGCCCAATTTGCTTGCATTTTCTGATGACTTTTATAAATTTCAGATACTCAGACTGTGGGATTTTATAATTTCATATCAGCGGATGAGGTATGCTTGCTTTCATATCCTGGTCTTCTCCTCAAAGAGGGGACAGGCCTGGTTTCGTTTTTACTAATCGGGAAGGCTGTGAGATTAATCCGGAGCATTAATGTATCACTGTGTATTGTAATGAATTCTCTTCAGCTTCTGGTGCTGGCTGGCTGCAGTAGAGCTGGCCACGTTCCACACAATATCAAGCATTATAGAGAAGATGGGATTTTCTTCTTTGTGTAGCTCTTAACACACTCTTTATTTTACTACAGAAATTATTTTAGAGTTTTTGTATAGACTTTAGTAGTCTGTTTCTAAAATGAAATGTATTTCAATAAGCTGTGTAATTTTTTCAGTGTAGCTAAACCCATGTTGTAAAATAGATAAATTTTTTTATAATCATCAAAATGTGATTCTTAAAGATGCATATAATAATTTCTATTTCAAATTTATTCTTACATCTTACATACAACTCAAAGGTGCTTCTGAGACTGGGTGAAGGTCACCAGACCAGGTTACTACAAAAGCAAGATTCATAAGTACTCAGTAACTTGAAAATCTTTGCTGGGCATTCAGTCCATCAGACTTACTGACACGCTCCATCCTTACTGTTCCCTTGACTCCTCTATAGAGTCAGTGGGGTGGTGTGCTGGAATAGGGTCACCGAAAGCTTGCCTGGTTTGAAAATCTGAGTAATTGTGAGTGGCTTCAGAAGGAAGTGGCAGAGGTTTCCTTTTGATCAAGTCTGTTTCTCACTTCTCTTAGGAACTGTGTCATGCTCAGCTGTTAGGGGAAGATAAATTGCTGTGTTTTCCAAGAGTTGTTAGGAGAAGCTAAAATGGTGAACTGAAATCACAAACGTAATTGCTGATAGTGGCTGGGAAATGTGGATGAGAAGACAAATTGGCCTTTTAAGTTTTAAAATGTCTGCAGTCTCTAAAATGTGGGTGTCCAGAACTGACTGCACGTGCCATTTCAACTGTAGTGAGAGGAACCCCCCAGGGCTGCTGGCCATCCTCTGCAGTAGGTGGGGTAGCAGCATCCTAGGAGAGGAAGGAGCAACGCCCCTGCCTCTGCCTCTGGGCCACTCACTCAGTCAAGATTTGGGAAACTTCCAGAGTATGGTCACCCTGGAATGTATTATACAGAAGGCTAAAGAGAAGGGCTGACATACTGGTTTCAGTTACTGCAAATGTGGGCAGCAGGGCTACCCATTCTATACTTCTTTACCTTGGAGACTGAGTTCCAAGAGTCACCACTTACCTTCCACTTCTCCTTTCTAAAAAATCTCAAGAGTTCCCTCATCTCTCTTTCCCCAGGCTCTTAAATCAGAACCTTAGCTGTTATTTATTTATCTTTGTTATTAAATGTGCAGATATGTGTCATGCACTTTCTTTTCTGGCCACTTAACTCTGCAGTGGGAACACATGAACTCTAGATTGAGGTTAGGGTCTGCTTTTAAGTGTCACACTCTACATTAGTGTTTTGGTTTAGTATTTCTAGATTTATTCCAGTTTTACCATTGTCTTCTATAATATGTAGGAAAAATAGTGTGCTGAGGCAGAACAGTATCTCAAGACACACATTTCCCCCAGTTCAAGGTATAAAGTTTAATGAATGGTAGTTTTAATATTTGCATACATTCTTGCAGCCCCCACATACCCAAGCCAAATAAGGAATCCAGTTCCTTGTTTCTGACTGTTTCTGGCTTTAGAGGCTCTCTGCTCACCTCCACCATCTCCTTTGCATCCCATGGGCCGTCTGCAAATCTACACTTTAATGCAGACTTACCAATATTTCTTGGTCAAGCCTGTAATATTAAAATATTTTTGTCAAAAAGGTATAAACTGTAGCTTAGTTAATTGGTTATATCTTATTTTGTACTAAATAATTTTACAATATTAGGCATATATTCTGAATTCTAGACTTGAGGCTGTTGAACCAACCATTTTATGGTTGTACTATGAGTACTCATTGAAAACTTCAGGTAGTCAGTTCTGATTTTATTCCAATGACAATAGCCATAAGAAGCTGTCTGCTATTATCAGGAATCCAGTAGTAGCTCAATAACTACCACAATCCTTAACAGGAGCAGGAAAAAGAGGAATTAAAAAATGAATTAGCATTGTCACACTGTATAATTCTTACTGAAATGTATTGTGGAACAATCTAGAAATGTCGTTTTTGTTTTTTGTTTTTTCCTGGATAGGTATATCTTCCCTAACTTGGGATTTGTAGGAACCCTGCTCTAAAAAGTGAATCTCTTCATTGCCATGTATGAATAACGAGCATATACATTAATGAATCCACACAGAAACGCTTCTGAGTGCAGGACCACAGAGTTAAGCCTTAAACATGTAGGTGCATTGGGCTTAACGTGCTGAAGACTCAAACTCAGGGTTGAAATGCGCTTGGGATCCACTGCAAGATAAAAGTTGCGTTGTGTGGTGTGTTCTCCCACGAGTTCTGCAGAACCTGTTCAGTTCTTGTTATCTGTTATGAAAAAAGGCTGTGGAGGAGTTTGAGTTCTAGGCCCATATCTATATTTTGGTATTGTAAAGATATAGGCCACATTTCAGAATAACAGATATTAAATTGAGGCTTTCTCATTGTCATTTTATACTATCTTCAAAGGCCTGTATCGTCACAAGGATTGCTTTATCTTCAAATGGTTTTTATCGTTGCAAGGATTACTTATTTACTTTTACATGGACCAGGCTAGCTTCAATCTCACAGCCCGAGTACTGAGTCTAAAGGAGTGAACCACAACAGCCAGCACCCAACATCTTTTTGTTGTTGTCTTTTTTTTTCTTTCTTTCTTTTTTATTTTTATTTTATTTTATTTTTTTGAGAAATGGTCTCACTACCTAAGCTGGCCTTGAACTCTCTATGTGGACCATGGTAGCCTCAAACCAATGACTCCCCACCTCAACTTCCCAAGTGCTGCGATTACAGATGCCTGCTTCGCCCTGCCTGGCCCCCACAAGCACGTTTTTGAGTTGGCGTTACATTTTTAGAGGTTGGGCTGTGCATCTTTTGTTCTTTTCTCATAGGTTTATCATTTGGATACAAACTTTTTTAGCCTAATGAAAGGCTGCTGCTCTCAAACTGAATCAGGTAGGCAAATGGGGAAGTCTCCACATAAAACGTTAATAAAGTTCAAGTAAACCTTTGAAAATCATTTCTATGTACTGTCTTAGTAACCCTCTGACCAGTCCTTCAGCATGGCCTTCTGGAGTTGCCCTGTCTAAGAACCTTGTCTGTTGGAAGTGTCTTTCTGAGCTTGACCCCCCCCCCACCACTGCTAACCAGAAGCAAACTCTGAAGCTTTGAATTTTAACTTCTTGAAATTTTTTCAGTTTTTATTATTGTTGAATGGATATGTGTTTATTATTTTTATGTGACTGGAAGATTTAAATCGTAAGACTATGAAGTTATGAAGTAGAGAAGTTCATTGCCGGGTGTGGGAGAGAGAGAAATAAACCCACATACATACACATATATATTATATATGTGTATATACATATATATATACATATATGTATATTAATTTCTCCCCTCTTACAGATTTTGGTTAGGAAAACACACTATAGTAGGTGAGTTTTTGTGTTAAAGAGAAAAACTAAAACTTGCATTAAAAGAACCCCTATTTTAGTTAAAGGGACCCTCTGTTTAAGCTACTGTATGGGAATGCCACTTTTGTTACTTTGAATGGTCCGCATAATACGGATTTTGACACTGTTCCAGATTGTATGTGGAACACGTCATGAATAGAGAGTGTGTTAGATCTAACCATTTTAACTTAAAAAAAAAAAAGCTGTGATTCTTAAAACTCGAAGGCTGAGCAAAGAATTATCAGTCTTTTCTTTTTTTCTTAGTTTAAGTTAGAAAATTTCCCCAAAGTTCTCTCTCTCCATCCTTTTTTCTCTTTTTCAGGAATAAAAGGTCACTGGCCATTAGAAATAGTGGCATTGTTATGCAATAACAGCTCACTAGCCAGTCAGCTTCTGTCATCTGTAGCACTCATGGGAAGTAATGCTGACCTTCCAACCCTGGAACTACCTCGATAAAACAACCCAGAGATCCTCGCATACACTTTCTATGGAAGCCATAAATGCTGTCAATATGTCCACCTTCACAGTTCTATACTTTTATACTCGATAGACACTTTTTATAGACTTATAATCAGACCTTTTCATCTTAGAGAATAGCTTTTGCAAGGCTCCAAGGAAAATCAAATTCCCTAAATGTCCCAACTTTGAAACTCTAGCTTTGGTAAATTTGTTTAAAGAACCAGATGCCATGTCATTTTAAAAAAATCATATGTTTAAATCAAAACTGCTTTGCAGACTTATATATTCTGAAAACAAATTCCTTTTTCTTGTTCCCTAAGTTGAGGCCGTGTTGTGATAAAGTGGGTCTATCCCCCTGTTAACTCAGTATTCCTGGTTGATTCATGCTTAGTGACAGTTTTCCTGGAGTGGTTCTATTACTGTAGTACAGGCGTGAGTAGTACCTGTTTGTCTGGTTGGTCCCTGGCTGTCGTGCGCAGCTTTCATCTCCATCACTCTGCTCTCGAGTGCCTTCAAAAAGCCCATGTCCTGGAACCTTCTCTCCCTGTTCTGGATCCTACCTCTGATTGTTTCATTCTCCATGAGTGTTGGAATTCACCCCTATTCCAAAGGGCTTAACTACAAATTCACTAAAATCTGGCCGAGGATTGTAAACACAGCTGTGCTCTGTTCCCCGTGTCCCTGCTGAGTTACCCTTGTAGCTCCTCTGTATCTTCCTCCCGCACATGCCACCTCTAGTACTTGAGCCACCCTTGTCCTCACCCTCCGTCTAGTCTCTGTGTCAGCCAGGGTGTCTCTGGGCTACCTTTTCCTCGTCTGAAGTCTTCCTAGATGCCTGCCCTCTGGAATTAAAGGAATACTGAATGCTGCTGTGGCTGCACATCCTCTCTTTCATAAATGTTTTTTACAGGGTTCCTTCTGTGATCTTAGTTTAGTCATAGGAATTTAAAAGTGCCCAGGGTTTAACAAGAATCCTTCATTGACTTTTTTGTTTTGTTTTGGATCAGCCACTCTCATCCAGCCACCTGTCTCCTCACAAACCCTGGTTTATTTTCATTTCCAGTTGTCCTCGTATAAGTCATTTAAAAAGCATAATTGGTGTATAATATATGAAAGATGTAATAAAAAGGAAACGGAAGTGTGTTCTGCGTGTAGTAATGTGCACTTCATTGATAAGAATTACTGTAGCAACTGGCTGGCCTTTCACATCCCAGATTAAAGCTTGTGCTATGTAATAGGTTCATTGTCCCCTCCTAAAGTGGAAACAGATGAACTCTTTCAGAGAGAAAATTGGATTTTTTTGTAGGTAAATAAACACTAATGAATATTTTGACCTTAGTCAGAATCTTTGCTTTCTGACTTATAATCTCTTGCCTCTTTCCTGAAAGTTATTAGTACTGAGGCATCCAGAATGGGTATCTGCATGGAGGAGGAATCCCAAAGGGCAGCTGTTGATAAATGTTTAATACTTTTTGCCTGGAAACAGATGGTGTTAATTGGCGGGACAGTACCAAATTGTGAGAATTGGTTTGATCATACAGAAGACAAGACGTTTGAATGCTTCCCTGCTGTTTAGAATGAGAGCAGTGTGCAGGCCATAAGAGGTAGACTCCGCTGTGGAGATCGTTGACCCATCGCTGATCTAGACAGTCAGTCACTTCTTGAGAGCTGGATGCCTTCAAGTACCCTCTTTGAAATCAGCCACTTTTCTCTCCAGAGTCCCGGCATTCAGATAGTGCAGAGCCATACTTACCATCACTGGGAGGAACTACATCCTTTGAAAAGGATGGCTGTTTGTTTTATGTGTTTGTTTATTAGGGTACCTTTGGTCAGGTATCAAAGCACGTTCTTGCCCCTCGGAGGTGTTCCCGTCGATTAACTTCAGGTTACCTTCATCCTATTTGAGCGTCTCTGGTGAGATCAGGAATGTGACAGATTACTTGAAAATGATTTTATAGGAAATGGAGATGCTCAGAAAGGTCTGGAAGCTGGGTTTTGCTTACCGTCAAAAGGAAACCTAACACTTGTTTCTGCACACAGCCTCTCCAGTCTGCCTTACAGAAGGGGGCCATGGAACCAGAAGCAGGGTCTTGCCCACACGCTGCATAGGATCTGACACTGCTTGTCAGCGTTGGAAGGTGTCTTTCCATACATGATTACTCACTTTTAAGTAAAAAAGAAACAGTGTAGTGTGATGTGTGTTTACTTATCAAGTTATATCGTCAGATATGTGGCCTCAGAAAATCAAATGAACTATTTTTCACAAATTTAAATGAGTATTTTTTTCATTTCTTGAGCTGATTCTATTCCATCTGTTACAGTACTTGTTTTGACCATAAGGGGGCGGTAAAGTACTTTCTTCTCAACTTTTAAGTCTCTTCTGGGATATCCCTTGGCTCACTGATTGAATTTGACTAAATTCTCACATTATCACTAACTTCAGTAGCTGCTCAGGCCTCGTGATGGAAGCAGAGATTCCTGGGTCTGAGGTTCATGTGGGCCAGGCAGCATAATCATCCAGCCTTTGTTAATGTTGGTGACATGAGATTGAAAGCTAGGCCCTCGTCACGAAGGAGCCTGTTTACTAAATGCAGAGCTGAAGGGTGACCCTCTTCCCTGCGCCGTCACATCTGTGACAGCAGTGGGGACCTCTGGAGGATGTGTGGGCATATGTGCTCTCCCTTTGTCCGCTCCAAGTTGGTTTCTGTTATGGGGAGGTCTCCCACAGCAGGCGCGCACACACACACACACACACACACACACACACACACACACACACACACACACACACACGCCTCCCCCCTCCCCCCATCAGGACAGAATGTTGGCCCAGCCTTCTCCAGTTCCTCCCTGGGAACTTAGCTCATTGCACATCCTCAGATGAATAGTTGAGTGTCCACCAGAGGAAACACCAGTCTGTGGGCATTTACCCTGTAGGATCAGAAAGCGCTTACCTGCGAAAGGGCGTCCGTTACTTATTTCTTCCTGGTCCCTTTTCCCCAGCAAGACCCAAGAACCCAATCCGTGCCAGACGCATAGAGTAGGGCTCCTTGTCATCCCAGCACTAGACAGAAGCAGAACAGAAGCAGTGACCAGGGTAGGCGGCAGGTGGCTTTCCCCATAGTGCGAGGGCACTTGTGCGTTCTCATTTCTTAAGAGTCCTTAGCCTTAGGTTTACAACGCTCGCTGTTGGATGCTTGTCCAGAGGGCTGTGAGAAGAGAGAAGCTGCTTGGCCCCGCCCTGCCTGCAAGGTTGACGATTGACGTCTAGAAGGAGGCAGTATCTGCCTTCTGTCTCTGGAGAGAGAGGCACAGTTGAAAGTCAAGGCAGGTTGGGACTAGGTGAGGGAAGTGTTTGTCATGCTGTAAAGAAGCCTTCAGGGGGCAGGGTGGGGGTGGCAGATGGATAGGACAGGATCTCTTGAGATGGGAAGGATGGGAGTGGGGGGCTGCTTGGCCCATGGTGGGCTCTGAACTGGCCCACAATTCCTGGCTTCCCTGAGTCATTTTTTCCCAGAATCCTGTCAGATCTCCTGGTGTGGTAATTTTCTTCTTGTGTTAAGTATACCAATATTATTTTTTTAGCAATTGAAATGCACTTTTTTATTTCAACTCAATCATGATTTTAAGTATAAAAATTTATAGATTGTTAAAACTACTTTTTTGTGTATTTTTAACCACTCAATGTAGCATTGTATATTTTATTCTTATTAAGACTCTGGTACAAGGTGTGCCATTTAATGATTTTTTTCCCCAACATGCTGGGCCTTTGGATGTGTACGGTAACCAACTTCATGCTAATGTTCAAAGTAAAAAAAGAAGAAAAGTAGCCATATTCCTATGTGTCTTTCTTCATTTCTTCCTTAAGCTCAGATGACATCCTGAGGTCCCGTCTGGTCTCTTGGTCAATGGTTGTTCCTTTTATGTAAAACAGTCATGCAAGCCACACCTGGCGTATTGATTGGTATCTCTAATTGGTAGCGCCTGTCCCAAGCCCCAAATCCTGCCTGGTATTTTGTGAATAACTTATCTCCTGTCCCCTGCACACCCAGTCTTGATGACTGAATCTTACGCACATTAGGTCAGCTGTACAGCTGCCACCTCCCCAGTCTCTTCCCGCTCCGTGCCTTGACACAGGCTAGCCCTAAACTCGCTCTGGAGCTCAGGCAGATCCTCAGCTTCTGCCCTCCTGTCTCAGCCTCTGGAGTATCTTGGTCACAGGCCTGTACCACCAGGTCCAGCTGAGGGACACGCTTCCAAGGCTGCCCACCACAGTTAACCTGATGTCGTCTCTGCATTGACGCTCCTCGGCTGCTCTCTCTCACCTGCTGAGCAGTAATCGCAGGATTTCTGAGAGGGGTTTTGGGAAAAGGATCAGGATTGAGTAAGACCCTGCCAGAAGAGTAAACACAGGTGCAAACAGCTTATCAAGTGTAGTCGATGGATGGCAGCAGTTAGAAACTGAGGCTCCTTCCCTCCCCCCTACCTGGTTCAGTCCCTCGGCGAGTCAAACCACACCTGTCTATTGAGTGCTTGATGCTGATCCAGGGCCCAGAGAGTCAGCAATGGGCAAGGCAGGGAGTGCTCACTCTCATACAGCATGCTTTCCTGTGGAGAAAACCTGACAAACGTGTCGGCTGAGCCTGGAGCCAAGGCCTGTAGGTTAGCCACTTAGGAGGCCGAGGCAAGAGAATCATAAATTCAAAGGCCACCTGGAAAATCTAGTGAGAGCCTGTCTTAAACTAAAACCCAAGGGATGGTGTTGGGTGATCAGAGTATTTACCTAGCATGAGTAAGGTTCTGGGTTCTATGCTTAGCTCTGGGGGGAGGGAATGAATGAATGAGTGAATATGTATATTTAAAATTGTATAACTTGAGGTGATTTGGGTCCCTGTAACCTGAAGTGTGCCCTCTGAGATAGGGCTGTGCCAACTGGAAGATAAGCCAGCTCTGTCACAAGCCTTCCCAGTTCCCATCCACCCTGTTTGTTCCTTTTTACAGGGTTCCAATCAGGGACTTCAGTGTCTCGGAAGGAAACCTTATTGTTCACATTTCCCTCTGAAACCTCTTAGAATGAAACAGACCTGAACAGATCACAGAGTTGACATTTTTATTCTCTTCTTTTTTATAAGATTTGGGGTGTGTGTGTGTGTGTGTGTGTGTGTGTGTGTGTGTGTGTGTGTGTGTGTGTGTGTGTGTCCCAGGAGGCCAGAAAGATGGTGTCAGTCCCCAAAGCTGGACTGACTGGTGGTTGTGAGCTGCCTAAGGGCTCTTAACTGCTGAGTCATGTCTCTAGCCCTTTTGTATCTCTGACAGATATTAACCTGTTCTTTTTTTTTTTTAATGTGTGGAGGGGGGTGTTTGTTTGATTTTGGTTTTGGTCAGTTTTGCTCTATTTTTGAGACACGGTCTCACAATAGCCATGATTGGCCTGAAGCTCTCTGTAAAGATCCGTCTGCCTTTGCCCCCTCAGTGCTGGGACTAAAGGGTACGCAGCTGTGCCCAGTTGGTTTCATTTTTGAGATAGGTTTATGTAGTCCTGGCTATGTACCACTTGCTGTGTTGTTTGAGGGTAACATTGAACTCCGGTTCATCCTGCTTCCAGCTCCCAAGTGCTGGGATTATATGTGTGTGCCACCATGCCCAGCAACACACTTTTCTAATTAGTACTCGCTGGAGCTACCTCTCCCCAAGCACACATCACAGCCGTGACTTTTAGGCTTTGACCACAACTTTAGTAAGAGATATATTTATCGACATGGCGTGGGGGTGCACACCTTTAATCCCTGCACTCAGGAGGCAGAGGCAGGTGAATCTCTGACTTCAAGTCCATTCTGGTCTACAGAGTGAGTTCCAGGACAGCCAGGGATACACAGAAAAACCCTGTCTTGAAAAGCGTGTGTGTGTGTGTGTGTGTGTGTGTGTGTGTGTGTGTGTGTGTGTGTGTGTCTCTGTGTGTGTCTGTGTGTGTCTGTATGTGTCTGTGTGTGTCTGTGTGTGTGTGTGTACATACATAAATATATATTAACATTTATCTATCTAACAGACATGTAAGTGTTTTATAAGTGAATATATAAAATATCAACAGAGAAAGCTGTATATACTGTGCTTTTGAGACAGTTTCACTGTGTACCTTTGGCTGATCTGGAACTTACGATGTCATACAGGCTGGCCTTGAACTTTCACTTCTCGGACTCTCAAACTCTAGGGTTACTAATAAGTGGCACCACGCCCACCATTGTTTCGTTACCTGCCTGTTGATGCATGTGTGTGTCTGCCTGTTCATGACTGTGCGAGTGTGAGCATGCGCTTGTATGTGTATCAGTAGGACAGAGAAGAGCTACAGGCGTCACCCTCCCGAATGTCATCCACCTCCTTTGAGAAAAGGTCTCTCACCAGTTAGGCCACGCTGACTGGCCAGCGGACTCCAGTGATCCTTCTGTCTCCGCCTCCCCAGCCCTGGGATATAATGAAGTGCCCCCAATGCCTGCCGTTTAGTGTGTGTTCTCAGATGAACTCTGGGACTCACCCTTGCAATGCAAGCCCTTTACAGACTGAACTGTCTTCCTCAGCCCCTGGCCTTTTGTTGCTATTGTTGTTTTGTCTTGTTTTTAATGTGGATCATGAGCTCCTAAGTTAATTTTAAGATTCGTTAATGAGTCCTATTTGGAGTACAGAAACCCTGTCCTACAGCAGCATGTGTGCACAATTCCTTTCTGTCCCTTTGCAGCAGCACCCTGAATTCATTTTCATAGACAATCCGGTCCTTTTAACTGGATTTTCCAGGATCTTAAGTCTTAACAGTTTCTCCTTCTGACTGCATCCAAACTACATGGCCCTTTTTGCACAGACTGGCCATCATTCACCCCTGTATCCTGCAGTGGCGTCTTCATCCTCAGACACGTTGCAGTCCCCTCTCACTGGAGCGCATACCCATCACCAGTACCATAACAGGTAGCTAGCTTCAAGTACTTATTTGCGATTCACATGTAGGGAAATGGGTGCTAGGCATTGAACCCAAGGACTTACACATCCTAGGCAAGCACTCCACCACTTAGCTACCTTTGAGGCCCTTCATAACCCATCTTTTTTAGGTCATAGTTACTGTGACTTAAAAGAAAATGTCCTTGTGCTGGGCATGGTGCACAGCTTTAATCCCAGCACTCAGGAGGCAGAGGCGAGTGGATCTCTGTAACTTCCAGGTCAGCCTGGTCTACAGAGTGAGTTCCAGGTGAGCCAGAGATACACATTGAGACCCTGTCTCCATAAAGCAAAGCAACAGCCTCCTTATGTCCACAGCCTTTTATAATGTGTCAGATTCTGATCAATTCCCCGTGTGTGGAGGGGCATCTGGCAGCTTCTGCTTTGGTTGGAACATGACTCCCAGGAAAGACACACAGATTTTGAAGATGGTGAAACGTGCGCACACACAGAGGTGTGAAAAATGGAAGGGGGAGCACAGGCTGTGACCAGGTAGGGGTGGCAACCCAAGCCTTTAATCCCAGCACTTCCACAGTGGTGGCCAGAAGATTAGAAGGACAGTGTTATCCTCAACAACCTAATAGGTTTGAGAACAACCTAGACTTTAAAAACAACAAAGGAGCCGGCGGTGGTGGCGCATGCCTTTAATCCCAGCACTTGGGAGGCAGAGGCAGGCGGATCTCTGTGGGTTCGAAGCTGGGCTGGACCGACAGGCTCCAAAACAATACAGAGAAACTCTGTCTCGTAAAAACCAAAAAAAGAAAAAAAATAAATAAAAACCAAAAAAAAAAAAACAACAACAACAAAGGAAACCTCAGGCTTGACCACTGAAGAATTGGAAGTGCAGAGACAGAGTGAGAAGATCTTAGATGCTCCAAGTCAGCTGACCCAACAGCTAACAGCGTGCTTAGGACCCTTGTGAGACAAGTAGACTAACCACCCAGTCCACCTGCAGAGGTCTGAGACATCAAATGATGTTTTAGGCATTAGGATGTGAGACAGGCTGTTATAGAGAAATCGGTAACTTGAAATAGCCCTCAGATTTTGGTCTAGCCATTACTAGGACCTGGTACCTTCACACAGCTCCCTTTACAAGGAGCAAAATACTCTTGATGGCAAATGTCAGCACTTGGACTTGTTTCTGCTTCCTCTGTTCTGCCCTCTAGGAAGGATTTCACCCTTACAAACATTTTAAGTTTCCCCTTGGGCATGTGCCCCACATTCTGTTCCCAGCCAGGAAATGCCGGGTTTCCCAGCCCTCCAGCAGGCTCCGGTTCAGACACACCACCGTGATTCTTCAGGGTGTGTAGAAGGAGGTCTGCACACCTTACAGAAGAGCAGGCACACATGGGCTTGTTCACATCTGTCCTCCTCTACAGCATAGTTCAGGTTCTCAACCTCCCTAAAGCTGTGACCCTTTAATGCAGTTCCTCTGTTCGTGGCAAACTCCAACCCTAAAATTCGATCATTGCTACTTTATAACTGTCATTTTGCTACTGATAGGAATGGAAATGTAAATATCTGATGTACAAGATATCCAATATGCGGCCCTCTGTGCGGTCTTGAAACACAGGTTGAGAGCCACTGAATCATAGTCCATGGCTATTTGGAGCTTGTTGCCATGTCTGCAGTGTGGCATTAGTAACCACTGCCATAAGGTCACCACGAGGATTGAGTGAAGCCGTGCAGGTAAAAGGCTCAGCTCGATGTTTACCAGGTAGGTTTTGGGACAGTTAACTTCCAATAACATGTGACTCAAAAATGTCCCCGATAAGCCCACTCCCTGGTGTCGATGCTCCCTTAAAGGGCCCCCTCCTTAATCTGGCTTGTATTCGGTGACCTCCTGGC